GGGTAGGAATCTCCAGGAATGCCGCGAGTAGTAGATCAGCAAACCCTTCCTGTAACATTACTTCACAAAATAAGCCTCCCGCACGTGGACTAGAACATGATGAGATTCACAAGTCCTCAATAAAACCTTTCCGACCTCAGCCTAGCTGGAGCTGGTGCCGATAAACACCCAATACCTTTCACAAGGTACATCTTGTAGGGAAATTCCAACTCTCAGCATTAAGGGGCTTCCTACCACACCGAACAGAACCCCACCCCATCCATTTGAACGTACGCATCTCTCCTCCTAATTTCCTGAACTACCCAGTCTGCTCTGTCTTTCCCACGCACAGCACAGCTCTGACAGTCTTCAGCTTGCACAAGCACCGTGACTTATCTCCACACTGCCTGCCTAGGTCAGTTGTTTGGATATCATTAGACGGGCTCTGACTGAAGGCCCTAATGAGGTGCTGATCCCATCATCAAGTCACTCAATTCATCCAGAATGTGTCCCGTGGGATGGCTAGAAAAGACTGATGCACGAATTCCAAGTGACGTGTGACACAAAAGGGGCGCCATTCGCATCGCTAGAACTCTGCGCCTGTCAGCACAGCCATTAGAAACCCCGCTTTACACAGATTTATAAGTCATCCCTCCCACACACAGAAATGGCTCTAGACTGAAACTTGGCACAAAGTTTAGTCCCAGGAGGGCATTAAAAAAACCCATTCAGCTGTTTCCGTCCCATTGCTTCAGCTCTCAGCCATTTAAATAATGGCAATTTCTCATTTCTCTTCTTAACTGAGGAAATCCAATATAAAACAACAGATTTACATAACACTGGTGGTGACACAAGCTGGCAGCAGCCAGGAAACCCAGAGCAAAGGCTGCCAAAGCGACTCAGTCAGCCCTCTCTGGCACGTTTCTCCATTTGGATTCAGTTTAGCAAAATGAGTTTTATTAGGCCTGGCTGCAGTCATGTGTAATCTTCAGACCTCATCCCCAGCCTGGTCAGGATGCCTGCCCCTGCCCTCGTACACCTCGTGTGTCTGCTTAAAGCAAAGCTCCCTTCTCTTGTGCCTGAGGTAGCATTTCCACTTGTGCTTCGAATGCCCTTTGCAGCAATCCCTTCCGGCTGATTTACACAGCAGTAATCCCTTTCTCACTGAGCTGGGAGGGAAACATACAAACCAGAGGGGAGAAGGACGACACTGCGAGACAGAAGAACTTGGTCATTAAAGTCTGAGCTTTGATCAGAGACTTTTTGTTCCTACTACTGCCACGTTCAGCTAACTGAACCTGCCTCCAAGGCTCGACGAAGACACAGGCACCCTAGGGCCATGCCTAACACCTCCCCAGTTCGCAGTTACATCAGAATCTAATCTACAGCTTTAACTTTAAGCAGGAAAAAAGAAGTTTCTAGCCCTCATGGTTGCGAAAAAACTTGAAAATGTGACCCACATGTAAGTGATGCAGCAACATCTGCCTGGGTCTGCCGACAATCTGCAATGATAGCTCAGAGATGTGAACTGCTCCATGTCAATGGGGTGTTAATCCTGAAATCCACTGCTCAGGGCGGGGGAGGGGGGGGAGGGAGATGCACTCCAACACCTCACCGGCAGAGAACTGTGGCATGGAAGGAGAAGAAGAATGAAAGCAGGACTGTTCCACTCACCCAAGCAGGCACACACCTTGGCTGCAGGGGTAGTTAATTGTCCATGCTTCCCTGCTACCATGTCTGCCTTTCTCAGGAAGGAGGAGGGGAGCTACCCCGCCACCAGCACTCCAAATGGTTGGGAAGGGCCATAGGAATCGACCCGTGCCCCACCATCATCACCATGTTATGATGTGCCCACGGCCCCAGTTTGCTTTCGTACGACCACCCTGCCTTATCTCCAACAAGGAAATTTCAGACCAGATTACTACCCCACAGAGAGAAGCGCTCTTCTCACTGCATTCAGTATATTCTACCACTGGTCACACGGCTCCAAATAGCTCAGCCACAGGAATAAAACCTAATGATAAGGGTCACATTTTCTGTTTTTCTTATACCAAGCCCATCACTGTGATATCTGAGTGCGGTTTTTTGGGTCCGTTGTGGATCCTCAGGGAACCCACAAGTAGCCTAACGATGTAGGCATGTATACGGAGATAATCATCAGCCAGTGGTTACACCAGGGCTCTGCAAACCTACCCATGAGCAGCGCTACTTGCCCTTCTGTCAACGGCCAATTAGAATAATTTTCAAATCAGTTTGGTGCTTGAAGGAGCATTTCAGCTGCTGCTGCCAGCCAAATTACTACAAACCAACATCCTTAGTGACACTGGAATATTGTATATACTAGCAGAGTGCTCTGCATAACACTGCCACTGCTGCACTCTGATTCTCACTGGGCTCTTAACTGTGCTCGCAAATGCCAGCTTCTGGGGCCTACGCTCTGGCTGTGCCGTGCTGGTCTCTCAGAGCATGCATATGTACTCCATATTCAGACTGGAAAGAAACCACAGCACAACAGATCAAACCACTCTGCGTTTACAAAGGAAAACAAAATTGCAGGGCCAATTTACTGACTGCACAACCATATCTGCTCTCCCACTGACATACAGTCCCATCATACCTTGTCCTTTAATTCCAAAGGGAGGTACAAAGTCCCTGATCCGTGCCCACCTTTTGAAGGAATCATCCAAGAACATTGGTGCTGGCTTGGAGAACCTGAAAAACAAAACAAGAGACACACAAATGTGAACCAAGGGAGGAATAACTTTCTGTAGGAGGCTCCGGGGACTCACTGCCCAAGTGCTGATTGCATACTCTCAGGAGGAAAACAACTGTAGGTCTATTGTCAGGTTTTATTACTACCTTGGAATCCACCCACAGAGGACCCAACGTGGCACTTCACAAACCTGCAACTCACTTCCCACTCAGCAGGTTAGAAAGCCCTGCCAGGTGAGCTTAGTTACAGCGAGGCAGGAAACTCTCTGAGATGCCAGAAACTATCCAAGTTAGAATGAGTTTTAGTTGATGCTAACAAGCCACTGCCACGTTCTTAATACAGAATCTGCTGGGGCAGGGGCTAGTAGACGGAGAGCCGAAATTGTTCGTCTCGTAGAACAATGACCTTCTGATTAAAATAGCAGACAGGGGCTGCTCGGCAAGACAACACAGACATGTGCAGCAAAGCATTTAATCTCTAATCACCTAAACCACAAGCCGGTTTGTCTGGGATAACTGAAGCTTGCCAGGACTGGCACGCTGGCAAGCCTTTGTGGGCACAGCAGTGCCTGGAGCACTTTTCTTGGAAGTCGAGGTACACCCGCGAGGGCACAGGCAAGCGTGGGTGCTCACGCAGACATGGGTGCAAAGATGTGCAGGCAGGTAGAGCTGCAGCAGTGTGTTTGTGGTATATTTTAGATACAGAGGCACAAGTATGGCTCTGAGCGTATATGAATGTGCGGGGTGAGTTGTGAAAGTAGATAAAGGGGCATCTACACAGGTGGCTGCTTTCGTTTGGTCTGGGCAAGCAGAGCTACTATCTGAGCCACCACACAAACCCAAGAATGCAAACATGGTTCAGGAGGTTGTGAAATAGCACTTCAGAGTGTACAGAGACTGGAAATGATGCAGTTCTTTTCTTCTCGAATCAGGAATATCCATTCACTAAACATACAAATGATCCAGGAGACATGCCACACCACGCCAAACAAGTACCGTCACTCCAGAACCACTTACAAATGACAGGTTTCAGAGGAGCAGCCGTGTTAGTCTGTATCCGCAAAAAGAACAAGAGTACTGGTGGCACCTTAGAGACTAACTGTATTTTCCACTACATGCATCTGATGAAGTGGGCTGTAGCCCACGAAAGCTTATGCTCAAATAAATGTGTTCGTCTCTAAGGTGCCACAAGTACTCCTGTTCTTTTTACAAATGAAAGAGAACTTGCCCTTAACTTCTGGGACTGAAAGCTCGTGGAAACATTCCCGCTAGGGAAAGACAACAGCTAGTTTGTTCTTTTCTGGATGAAGAATCACTGGCCTGTAGCTAAGACAATGCCACTCTGAAGGAAAAGGTCACCACGCTACTATGCAGGAGCAACTCTGGAAATATTAGCTCCCAAGAGAGGCAGGAGTTGAGGACAGATTTAGAGGCCTGACAGGGAACACTAGTCAGCATGGAGTGCAGCAAGAGCATTTCCCAGCAAGTCCAGTAGAACTGAGAGTTACGAACACCTCAGGAGTGGAGGAGGTGTTTGTAACTCTGAAATGTTCATAACGCTGAACAAAACACTATGGTTGTTCTTGCAAAAGTTTACAATTGAACAGTGACTTAATATAGCATTGAAACTTTACTATGCAGAAGAAAAATGCAGCTTTTCCTGGGTTTTTTAGTAGCTTATGTTTAACACAGCACTGCACTGTATTTGCTTTTTTTTTGGTCTCTGCAGCTTCCTGATTGTGTACTTCCCGTTCCAAATGGTGTGTGTGATTGACTGGTCAGTTCACAACTCTGAGGTTCGACTCTATACAAACCCTACCAGAAATCTGTTCATTTCAGAGCATTAAAACAGCAGCAGCAGCCGCCTACCAATGCAAAACTGAAAAGCAAGTTGTGAAAAAGCATGAAAGCTGCAGGTGAAGCTCGGAAATAAATGCAACACAGCCACTTTCAGATCCCAGTACAACCACCACACAGGAAGAAGGAAGATCGGCTGAATTCCATATCACTTGAAATATGGGGCAACCACAAATTCAGGTGAAATCAGAAAGAGCCTGCACAAATCACTGGGAGGGGGAGAGAAGCCAGGAGTATCTAATGAACTACCAGAACAGAATGAGTCGCACCCACTCAAGCATCCATTAACAAGATAATCAACAATCATAAAAGTAGGACACAGCAGATTGCATGACAGCTCTAGGAGGAGAGGAAGACAACTCTGCAATGCACAGCAGGCCCAAGGATGGTAGAAGAGCCCATGTAACTTTGGTGGGAGGCCAGGGAAGGCAGGCTAATCACCTTGGAATCTCTGGAAGTCAGGTAAAATAATTTTTCTGTAATCTAAATAATATTAGATTCAATATTTCTCTGAAACTATCAAAGATTAAACAGCCAGAAGAATTAGCTCAGTATTTACGCTGGAGGATTTATCAGATCTAGCTGTGCTCTGCAGTTTAAGCATGGAGTTACATTAAATACCAAAAACTGAAAGTACCTCTCTTTGGTTACTACTTGGGAAATACAGAATTCCCCCACCCCTCCCAGCACTGACTGAGATAGTTGTCATCACTTCTAACCAATGCAGGAGGATGTCACACCTGAATTCCAATTCTGGTATTTATTTGCAGCAGAGAAGTCAGGTACTGAATGTTTCGGCCAATGCTGATACACTGGTTGGAGAGTTCTTTCCTTTTTCAATGATGCTTGTTAAAAGCTGAGAGGGGGAGCAGATCCCGCCCACATGAAGAGTCCTCAGAAGACAAAAGTTGGCATAATGGGCTCTTACGTTACCGCTCCCCACAGCTGCTGGTGCAGGGGTGTGCTGAGGGCAGGGCAGGGGCAGGGGGGGGGGAATGGATGGAGCGAGATGGGTCTAGCCATTCCCATCGGGTATAGCGTTTCAGGGACCATACCAAGCTAGGCAGGTTACAGCAGGCCCAGGTTGCTCTAACTTGGGCTGGGGGAGAGAATCAGGGACCTGTGACCAACTCTTTGTCAGCCCCCCAGTTTGACGTGCCCAAAGGAAGCTAGAAACAGCAGAGAACCTGCCTCAGTGGCTGACCACACGCATGCCACGACTTTGGTTAGTACGGACCACATTATCAGAATTACAGTTTTCCCATTATTTTGATGAGGAAAAATGTACTTGCAGAAGTTTACAGTCCCTTATTTACTGAAGAGAGGAGAATGGCTCCAGCACTTCATCCCAAGGTGTATTGTTTACCTTGTTGCCGACTGTAACAGTGCTTCTCATCGTGTGCACCATGTATACAACTGCATCCGGGCAGAAAAAGTCACTGCAAATGCACAGCAGCTACTCTTCCAGTGAAGCTTGGCTAGTGTAACAAAACGCCGGGCAGGAATGAGAGATGGACAAGATCATTAGCTCATCATTCCAGGCTAGCCTATCTCCTGTCACCAGGACTACAAGGACACGGGCACTGTGACAGAGTTCCCTTGCCGCTCGCAGCGCCTCCTCCTGGCCATCCTGGGGATCAGCTCTGCCAGGAGCTTTGCCCTCGTCAGCGGTGTCTCTACCCATCTTCTGCTCTGTCTGCAACCTCTCCCCCCCTCTCGGAGCGGCAGCTTCCGGTTTGTGGCTTGGCCCTCTGGCCAGGTCACTAAGTTCTCTCCTTCCAGGGAAAATCACAATCCTTCTGGACCAACGCCCCGTGCTACTCCCCAGTGGCTGGTAGGGGAATCCAGGCCTGCCCTCTACACTGGGTTCCAGCCCAGGGACCCTATAACATTTAGCCAAGGCCTGTACTGTCTTAGACCTTGCTGCTGTTTCCCTGGGCTTCTTCCTACATCACTGGCTCCCACCCTCTCTGGGGACGCCAGCCTCCCAACTCCCTCCTCTCAGGGAGTACCTGCAGCCTGCCTTCCTGCTACTTGCATCTCCTGGGCTTTTTACAGGCCCCTCCTGTTCCTTCCCAGCTGCGCTGCCTCTAATTAGTTGCCCATGCAACCTGAATGCTGCTCTCTTCCAGTAATGCCCCAACGCCTCATTAACACACAGACCTTTACTCTGCCAACCCCACAGTCCTAAAGTGTACGCACTGTTCACTTCCTTTTACAACCCTTCCCCATCCCATCTCCCGCTGTTAAAGGACAACAACAACACAGGGTTTTTGAACAGGAAAAGCTGTGTTGTTAGTAGACATTTAGGTAGGTGTACACATCATCTCCTGCAATTCGTATACTGAGCCACCCAGGCCCGCCTCCCCCCACATCAGCTGGGTCCCACAGGCCCAACTCTGGCACACCTCCCCGGCTATGTCCCAACCCATTCTCCCCCCCTCCAACCTGCCCCTCACCCCACTTCTGTATCAAGGGAACACATCTCCCTTAAGTGCTCGCTCCCTGGTATACAAAGGTTTCTACTGCTGTTACTCCCGCCCCCTTGTAACCTGATTTACACGCAGTGCCTTGAGCAAAGGACAACTATGTTACAGCCGAATGGTGTTCCTGATCGTGTTTCAGAATGGTTGGAGGGGGCAGTTTGTGGCCGGGCCGGCGAGAGACATCACAAAACACTGACAGCTTTACGTTTGAGAGAGAGAGATCCTCTGACCGCTGATCAATAGGCGTACGCCCTCTCTGAGAGCCAGCGAGGTGTCAGAGCTCCTAATGTTTCTATGCCACCCCGTACATTTTCTGGTCAGCCACGAACCCTCTGATTTCCATGAGTGATACGGCAGGTGCTCTCCACCCTCACCTGCAAGGGTTGGCAGCCTGTGCTGTAAGCTTGGTGTCAGTCTCTAAACAATCAAGTAACAAAACAGCAACTCAGGATTAGTTGTCGGCACCTTTAAACAAAGAGAAAAACTCCCCCAAACCTTCAAAATGCAAGCACTTAGGTGCAGCGCTTAGAGCAAGACCCTGCCTGGGCAAGTCTCACCCAGCTCTGCCTCTGAGCAAAACTGGCCTACTGGTTCTTGATTGGCCCTTCTCAGCCTCTGGAGGACCGTCTTGTTGGCTACCCACTCTGAATGGATTTT